AGTAAAACTTTAGGAGTGCAAAAAATAAAACTAAATGATGCCATACCGATGATGTGGCGAAACTATAGGGAGAGTATAAATCACCTCCCACCATGCAACTGATTGTGTATGCATAATGAAGTATTTATTTCACTCTAAATAAGAATAATGGGGTACATGAATGCTCGCAAAGTTTAAGTGGTCAACCGAGTTACTGGACAAGTTTAGGGGGAAACTTATGTATTTTGTCTTGATGTAAATATTGCATTTATCAAACAATTATTCATAAAAATAATTTAAGACAACTCTTTTTCCTCAATTATCATAATTTATGCCTTGTAAACATATTAAATTATTAAATTCATGCACTACTATTAAAATTAATAAAAAATAAGTTAATGATATAGTTTTTAATGATTGTGGTGTCCAGGCCAGCTTACACGCACTTCGACTAATCCACGGTGTACCTGCTACCTCCTACCAACACTTGTATCGTGCGATTCTGTCCACCAATGCGTGGATGGATGTAAGAGATCACATATTGTTTTTGCCTCTCTGGGATTTGAACCTGAGAGACCTCATGGTTCTCAAACCATTTCATCGACTACTAGACACACCCTTGGGTGTAAAAACAATTTAATGGTATTAACAACAATCATTACACATCTTTTATATTTTGGATCATAAATAATGTTTCTTAACAACATGCATTCATATAATCCATAACATAAAATGCATAATAATTATATTTTCTAATAAAGTAACATTCATATTATTCATAAAATCCTCAATAAGTATAAGATACATGATACATGGTCAATAAAAGAGATTTGTGTTCTTCCATAGACGCCAATTAATGTTTTGCACAAGACTGCATGTTGACAAATAATGTATAAGATTTTGGGACAATACTTAGTTTCAAATCGATCTCCTTTACTATTTGTCATATCTCACTCTAGAATGGGTGACATAGTTGAAAGATGATTATTCACATTGGCTAAATGATCCATCCAACCTCTCAACATGGCAGTCATATCTTTAAGATGATCTTGTTTAGGCTTTTTACTCCTATTAGTAGTCGGTTATGTATAAGATTTTGGGACAATACTTAGTTTCAAATCGATCTCCTTTACTATTTGTCATATCTCACTCTAGAATGGGTGACATAGTTGAAAGATGATTATTCACATTGGCTAAATGATCCATCCAACCTCTCAACATGGCAGTCATATCTTTAAGATGATCTTGTTTAGGCTTTTTACTCCTATTAGTAGTCGGTGCCTCTGGATAGGCACTCAAGTTAGGTGTTTCAGGAGTTGGCAAATGACCCATATTCCTCAGCATTTTCCAAAGAGGTAGCATTCACAGGAATCATTTCATCTACCTCATTAATTGTCAATGAGCTAGATGAAATGGTTTTTAGGTATGCCGCCTCTTTGAAAATTGGAATATAGACAATTTGAACAAAATTAGCCAAACTTTCGATGCACCTAAGTTGAATACATTTTCAGAGGCACTGACTTCTAATATTAGTAAAAAGTCTAAACAATATTATTTTGAAGACATGGTGCCTTGTTGAGCGGTGGGAGAATCATTATTAGTTGCCTTTTAATGATGTCATCTATTCTAAAACGAGACATGGCAAATGAATTTGGAACAAAGTATGGTCCTATACGTTTATATATTATTTGTCAATATGCAAACTTATGCCGAACAATGACTGGATATCCTTGGAAGAACGTAAATCTCTATTGGCTATGATATAGGCTGCCAATTAAATTAGACTTGTATATTTTTCTTATGCCTATTGAGGGTTTTATGTACAATATGATTATTATATTATTAGAGAACATTATCTTATGGATTATGTGAATGCATGTTGTTAAGAAAACATTACTTATGAGTTATGATCCTAATTCAACATTACTTATGAGTTATGATCGTAATTAGAAGCAAACCTATTTGGTCGCAGTGATATCCAATAAAGTGCACTATTCATCTTTGAATTTTCCGCTTGGCATTAGCCTTACCGTGGTCTCTATTCTGCCTCCACAGCCATATGGCCTTGTTGCCCCTACCGCCTTTTTATTAATAGTAAATGGAAAGTATTTGCATGCATCTGATCCCTCCAATTCTTCCCCGACATGGTTGATTGCTAGAATCTAATTGAACTACTGTGTACCTAGTTGTCTTAAGAGCCTTGACAATCACTAAAATATAGAATTCAACAGCGATCATGAATCTTGTAGCCAGAAAGGCTCGAGCAAGGTCCTCACTTTCAGTAGCTTTCTCTCAGTCCAGGAGAAACCTCTAGTTACCAGAAGGGCAAAACTCTAGTTACCAGAACGGCAAAACTCTAGTTACCAGAACGGCAAAACTCTAGTTACCAGAATGCACAGGAACTTGTGTCTGAACAGTAGAAGAATGCTTCTCCCTGTGCTCAATATTGGTCCAAACTTGTTCATTCACGAAAAGCTTTATTCTGTTTTCTGGATTTTCCATAGCAGGGCCCACCTTGTAAAGATCTAAACATTTTATCTACTTCCGAGGCTGCTATTACTTGGGGTCCTTGTGAGTGATATGAGATCTAGCAGTCATTTTGCACTTGCTTCTCACTAAATAATGGGTCCCTCGTGATCGTGACTAATCAAACAACCTGTACTTTGGGACACTGCTTCATTAAAGAGGTGATTTTTCTGTTGCAGGGTTTTCGTGGGAACTGTGAGTGAGTTCTGTGTTAAGCATGCCGAATGTCCTGTTGTCACAATTAAGCGCAGTGCAGCTGAGACTCCTCAGGACCCTATAGATGACTAATTCATTTGGTGTATTTGTTAGTGCTTAATGTTCATTGATGCATATTAGATGTCGACTTGTGTTGTAGATAGATTTTGCAGATTTTCATTCTGGTTATATAGCTGTATCTGCTGTGTTGTGGGTTTCGTGTTTGCACATGATTGTTGTTTGCATGTGTAGTAACAATGTCCCGTGCACATGTCTGAGCTTTGAGTACTTCTGGGCATGCGTGTGCTCTTTAGTAATATGTTGGTTTTGTAGAAGATTTTCGCTTGGCGTCAGTCTTTTTTGTACATACATCTTATGATGAATGTGTGTTGCCTATATATCCGTACATATGGTTTAAAGGGCCGCCCGGTGCATAAAGCATCTCGCATTCACGCTGGGTCCGGGGAAAGGCCGCACCCCAAGGGTGTGATGTAGACAACCTACCCTAATGCAAGTATTAGTGGCTGCTTGGCTCGAACCTGTGACCTATACATCACACTGAGATAACTTTACCGTTGCTCCATGATTCCTCTTTATCTGTACGTATGGTTTGCTTAACCATATTACACTTTGGGGAGAAAAATTAAGATTTTAAGTATTTTTTTTGTTTGGCTTCAAATGAGGATCGAAGAGTGTGTAAAAAGGTATTTAACAAAGGTCCCTATTGTAAAAAGTATTTTTTTTGTTTGGTTTCAAATGAGGATCGAAGAGTGTGTAAAAAGGTATTTAACAAAGGTCCCTATTGTAATGGACAATCTCTAATATTGTTATATGTATAATCAATCTATTATTTATATACAAATTAAAAAAAAAAAAAAAAAAACNTAAAAAGGTATTTAACAAAGGTCCCTATTGTAATGGACAATCTCTAATATTGTTATATGTATAATCAATCTATTATTTATATACAAATTAAAAAAAAAAAAAAAAAACACAGCTAGAATGGTAGAGTCAGCCAGCATGAGACTGTTACGCAGTTCAATAAATAACAATAGCCTCTCATTGTGTATAGCTTTTCACAATTCCCAGAATTACGGGGAATTCGAAGCCCCCCTCCACAGCTTGGTTCCCTAAATAATTGAACATGAGAAAGTAAGTCAGTCGGACAAGAGTAAAACGTCTGATCAGACATATAGGAAATTTAGTGCTACTACTAGTTTGCAGGAGAAACATCCAACATTCTTCTGAGTGTGTGCATATTTCTCAAATATATAATTACAAATTATGAAATTAATGTTTGTTTTATAATTTTGTTAATTATAAGTTTTAACTTGAAATAGAGAAGTTGAAGTTGAAAAACATATATGAAGAGTATTTCAAGTGAAATAATGGTTCATTCACACAATTATTTTTTTCTTTTTACTAAATAAAATTCATGTCTAAACACGAATAATTTCAAATGTGCTTTAGTAACTTCAACTCTAATACTCATTTTTTCAACTTCAGTCAAAATGAACTCAAACTATATACTAGATCTTCCATCCATGAGCCGAGGCAAGTAGTGTTTGAACTTGTTAATATACACTGATGTTTTAACTTTTCTGCATACATATATATAGTTCCAGTGCAAGAGAGTGCACGTAATTATCTCCACAGCTTATGTCTTGTTGATTCATCTTCTGACCACGAGGTTGAAAGTAGTTCAAACATATAGTTTGTTTGGACAATTGTTTTTAAGGCTAAAAGTGTTTTTACTTGAATTTAAGGTGTTTGACCAAACTTTTAAAAAGAAAAAAAGTGCTTCAAAATAAAATTATTTTTTGAGAAGATGAAAAAGTAGATTTTTCCTAAAAATATTTTTTCTTTTTTTGAAAAACACTTTTGAAAAAAATACACATATTAGAAGCACTTTTTAAAAGATTGATCAAACGCTAATTGATACTAAAAAATATTTTTTAAATTGATTAGTTAAACACAAATTGCTTCTCACCTAAATCTAAAGTATTTTTTTGAAAATCACTTGTGAAAAAAATACTCTTCAAAATAAGTTGATTTTAGAAGTCGGCAAAACATGCAATTAATCACCAAAGAGACACCATTTGTCTTTCAAATTTAGCTATTGCTCTCTTTGTGGAGTTTAAAAAAAAGGATAAAAAGAAAATTAAAATTAAAATTATTTTCAAATATATAACGTATTATTTTTGTTGAGACAAAAGTAGAGTATCACCGAGGAGCATTTACTACGAATTAATGCTCTCTTCTCGAATTCTCGCAAAGTTGCAAAAACATATGCAAACAAGTTGAGATGGTGATAAATTCTTGAGTTCAAAACTTGGTGAACAACTATATCTAACAAGTGAAGTCTGTAATACATAACATTACAATATATTTCTGAAAAAGAAAAAAAGAAGAAAAATAGCTAAATAAAAGTAATCCAAATTTACCAAAAGTACATTCAACTTCCCAAATTTCTAAGCAATAGACACTTTTGCACCAGCTTCTTCAAGCTGTTTCTTAGCTTCCTCAGCTTCATCCTTAGAAATTCCTTCCTTAAACTTCTTCGGCAAGCCTTCAATCAACTCCTTAGCTTCTTTTAAAGCCAAATTAGTTAAAGCCCTAACAGCTTTAATCGCCGCGATTCTCGCATTACTCGGCACTTCCTGAATGATAACGTCAAATTCCGTCTTCTCCTCAACAACCACCGGAGCTTCTGCGGCGGCGGGTGCGGCGGAGACGGCGGCAGGAGCGAAGGATGCGGCGGTAACACCGAGCTTGTCTTGAAGGTACTCGAC